GAATAGGTAGGGACATACTTTAAAAGCACATTACACGGCCGGCGCCGCGGCTCACTAGGTTAATCCTCTGCCTAGTGGCGCCGGCACACCGGGTTCTAGTCCCGGTCGGGGCGCCAGATTCTGTCCCGGTTGCCCCTCTTCCAGGCCAGCTCTCTGCTGTGGCCAGGGAGTGCAGTGGAGGATGGCCCAGGTGCTTGGGCACTGCACCCCATGGGAGACCAGGAAAAGCACCTGGCTCCTGGCTCCTGCCATCGGATCAGCGCGGTGCGCTGGCCACAGTGCGCTGGCCGCGGTGGCCATTGGAGGGTGAACCAACGGCAAAGGAAGACCTTTCTCTCTGTCTCTCTCTCTCACTGTCCACTCTGCCTTTCAAAAAAAAAATAAAAAAATAAAATAAAATAAAAATTTAAAAAAAGCACATTACACTAAAAAAGGCTTAATACTTCACCAAATAAGAAGTTTACCAAGTAAAAAGCAAAAACACTCTAGTTTAATGGAATATAGACAGTGAATATAAGTGATAATTGAGTGGAAAAATGACCATTTCGCCAATACAGAAAATTTTAAAGTAATCACGGATCATTAAAACTATACTAGCATAATGTTCTTAACCATTGACTTTTACAAACTATATTTGCAGCAATACTGATTCGCACAGACGTTTGTTTTTCTCTTTCTTTTTTCTCTATTTTGTTTGCTTTTTAAATTTTATCTTGCACATAAAAGGGAGAACATGTGGTATTTGTCTTTCTGGGTCTGGCTTATTCAATCAATGTGATGTCCTACAGTTGTGTCTATTTTGCTGCAAGTGGTAAAATTTCATTCTTTTTTATAGCTGATAATATTACATTGTGCTATATGCCATATTTTCTTTATCCAGTCATCTGAAAATGGACACCTTGGTTGATTGCATATTTTTGCTACTGTGAACATTGCTGCTATAAACATGGTGGTGCAGGTATCTCTTTGATACATTGTGTTCAAGTCTTTTGGATATATACCCATTAGTGGGATTGCTGGATCAGTTGGCAAGTCTATTTCTTGTTTTTTAAAGAAGTCTCCACACTATTTTTCACAGTGGCTGCACTAATTTACATTTCCAGCGACAGTATGTAAGTGTTCCCCTTTGCCCACATCTTTGCAAGCATTTGTTACTCTCTGTATCTTGGATTTTAGCCATTCTGACAAGGGTGAGGTGATACCTGATTGTGCTTTATCTTTACATTGCCCTGACTGCTAGTGATATTAAACATTTTTTATACATTTGTTGGTCATTTGTATTTCCTCTTTTGAGAACTGTCCATTGAAGTCCTTTGCCCATTTCTCAACTGGATTGGTTGTTTATGTGTTGTTGAGTTTTATAAGTTGCTGATATATTTGGGATATTAATCCTTTGTCAGATTGGTGGTTTGCAAATATTTTTCCCATTCTGTTGGATGTCTCTTCAGTATATTGATCATTTCCTTTGCTGTGAAAAATCTTCTGAGTTCGATATAATTCAATTTATTTAGGTTTTCTGTTGTTGCTACCTGTACTTTGGGGGTCTTTTCCAAGAAGTTGTCCCCTATACCAATGTCTAGGAGTGTTTCTCCTCTATTTTCTCCCAGTAGCTTCATAGTCTTGGGTCTTATAGGCCTTTTATCCATCTTGAGTTGATTTTTTTATATGGTAAGAAAAAGATATTTAATTTCATTCTTCTACATACAGTTTTGTCATTACCATTTGTTGAAGAGATTATCCTAACTTCACTGTATTATCTAAGCACTTTCGTCAAAAATCAGTTGGCTGTATGTACATGGATTAATTTCTGGACTCTCTGTTTTGTTCCTTTGATTTCTCGTTTGGTTTTTATTATAGTACCAAGCTGTTTTAATTACTATAGCTTTGTACTATGCTTTGAAATCAGATATTGTGATGACTACAGCTTTGTTTTTCTTGCTCAGGATCATTTGACAATTTGGGTACTTTTGTGATTCCATATGAATTTTAGGATTGCCTTATCTGTATTCTTTATTCTGTAAAGAATGCCATTGGTATTTTGATAGGTATTGCATTGAATCTGTAAATTTCTTTAGGTAATATAGACATTTTAATGATATTGCTTCTTCCAATGCATAAACAAGAAATAGCTCTCCATGTTTGTGTGTGCTTTATAATTTCTTTAATTAATGTTTGATAATATTTATTAAGGAGATCACTCACTTCTTTGGTTAAAATTTATTCCTAAATATTTGATTTTTGTGACTATTGTGTGTATTCTTTTCTTATAGTTAATTTTTTGTGGTAAAGTACATAAATTCATTTCTTATTTGCTTTTATAAATTTTCCATATCTATTGTCTTTGTGACTACATAGGGATATATTTAACTTCCTAACATTATTCTACTCTAATTTGAAATTCTACAGTCTTAACTTTGATAACATGCCAAAGCTCTACTCCTTATGATTCTGCCCTCATCTTATTTTATTTCTGATGCCATAAAATTGCATCATTATACATTATAGGTCCCTAAGCATAAACTAATAATTCTTTGAAATGCATTAGACTTATGAAACTATAAACAAATTGTGAATTATGAACCAAGGTTTCCATGACACTAACTTTTAGAATAATAATTATTTTAAAAATGTGTTAGTATCTTAAGTGATATAAAAATGAAGAATTACAAGTCATTACTACAATAATACAATCTTTTAAAAATGTCATCTTTTATAATTGCTCATTCATTTATTGCTGTTGAGATTTTCGTTGTTTTCATGTGGTTTAATATTACTTTCTACTGCCCTTTCTTTCACTTTATGGGACTCCTTACAGCATTTCTTGCAAGACATGTCTAGTGATAATCTCCCTCAGATATTATTCAACTAGATGCCTTAATTCTTCCTCCTTTTTAAAGAATAGTTTTGTTGGTTATAGGATCACAAGAGGTTTCCAAATTTGTGATAAGAAATATATTGAGTGTCCATTGTATGTGATGAGTCACTTTATTCCAGCTGCTTTCAGCATCCCATCTGTGGCTTTAGAAAGTTTGATTATAATACATCTCATCATGGGTGTCTTGGAGGTCATCTTAGAGTTTACTGAGTTTCTTGAATGTTTGTATTCATGTCTTTCATAAAACTTGAAAATTTTTCAGCCGTAATTTCTTCAGTTTCTCCTTCCTTTTAGGTCTCTTCTCTGGGTATTCCCAGGCTGCTCAGTTTAGTCTGTTTTGTGGTGTTCCACAGGTTCTTTTGTCTCTGTTCACTTTTCTTCAGTATTTTTCTTGGTATTTCCCATATTTGATCGTTTCCAATGTCTTTCATCTGCCTGGAAAAGTCTGCCTTTGAATTACATATTGAGTTTTTCCCAGTTATTGAAATTTCAGTTCCAGAATTTCTTTTTGTTTTCTTTTTATTGGTATTTGCAATTTGTCATACATCATTTTACTGATTTTCTCCACACTTTACTTCTGTGAGCATATCTGAGAATCATTTTAAATCTTTGTCTGGTAGATCAGCCATCAGTTCTTTTTTGAGGGGGATGGGGTGGGACAGTTTTATTTCATTTACTTTTTTTCTTTGAATGGTTTATAGTTTCCTGCTTCTTTATATATTCTGTGTTTTTTAAAATAAAAAAATCAGACATTCAAATATAGAAAGCATACTTTCCCCCTTTTCTAGGATCTGCTGCTTTAAAGATTATGATGTTTATTTGGGGGGCTTCTTTGTTTGATTATTTGTTATAATATGATTCTGTGACCAGGACATCCATGAGGTGTAAACTCTAGGTATTCTCAAGTCCTTTCTGAACTTATGCCTTTTCCTGGGAATGCATATTCACTTTCTGATTTTTCCTATATTTTCATTTGGTTTTGAATTTCCTAGTTTTTAATATCTGGCTGCCAAATGAAGAAGAGGAAAAATGAAAGTTATAAAAAGATGCCAACCTTTTAAATCCCTCTTATATAACCTCAGCCGGAAAGGGAAGTCTTTGCAACAGTGGGGGTGGGTAGTATAACCCAATGGCCCCCTACCTCTTTGCACGTATGTGAACAGAAGCAACAATCAGTAAGCAGAGAGCAAACCCTCAATCTGTGAAGCATATAATTCTTTCTTCCTATCCTGGGTCCCACAAGCTAGGTGCAGGCTGAACATATACACAACTGTCTGCCAGGGGTGAGGGTAGGGGATGGTAGTTGGTGTTGTACTTAAAGCTGTAGTTGAATGTAATTAGCCACATTTTACCATCCAAAACTTCCCCTGGAAATCGCAAACCTTCAAAAGCCTCAAGAGTTCTAAGATAGTCACACTTGATCTTTGCAAAAAGACTGAGAAGCAATATAACATAGTCATATCAAATTGTGCCAGTGAAAATGATCTTTAGGTGGGGATACAGATATCTGTTTTTTTTCTACTCTATTATATTCCCAGAGCCTTTCAAATGAATATAAATATATAGGTACATATTAAATATTTATTTATTTCAGTGTAAACGTGACAGAGTGGGAAAGATAACACACACACACAAAGACAGATTTTTCATCCATCCACTGGTTCACTCTGCAAATGGTCACAACAGCTAGAGATAGGCCAGGCTGAAGCCAGGAGCCAGGGACTCCATCCAGGTCCCCAACATTGGTGGCAGGGGCCCAAGTTTTGAGCCATTTCCTGCGGCTTTTACAACCACAATAACAGGGAGCTTAATTGGAAGTGGATAATCCAGGACTCAAAGAGACACTTTTATACAGGCTGCTGGCATCACAGGCAGTGTTGTAACCAGCTGTAGCACAATGCTGGCTCCAATTGATTATGTGAATATATTTTAAAGAAAATGATGTCATATATTTGGTTTTATAAAATATAAAAAATTGTTTAAGCAGAAAGGAGTATAATCAGATTTGGATATTTAGAAGAGCCACTTTAGATGGGCAAAGTTTGATATGTTATTCCAATCAATGAGTAGCAACTGGGATGTTTTTGGCTTCAGACTTAACTTGATCTTCTGTCTTCTTCCACAGAAAAGTTGATGGTGATCATGCCCATGGGACACGTAGTGGCTATGGCAGGAGGACAGGCTGAGCTCAGCTGTCAGTTGTCCATACCATGTAGTGCAGAGATGCAGCCAGCATGAACTTGAGTTTGGCAGGTAAGTATGGAACATTGTATACCAATGCCCTAGTGATGCCAAAAGCTGAAATATGTGGAAATTATTTTTATATTTCTTTTTATTTTTTCTTCTTTTAGTATTTGAAAATATCTCAAGTATTATAAATAGTAAACTCACATGAACTGCAAAAATATACTATGTGATGAACAGACAGTACAGGGTTAGTCTACATTGTAACTTAGATATGCATTTGATAATTACTTCTTCTTTGGTGGTTGCAGAACCCAAGATTGAGACTCCTTTTCTTTCACATTTCCAGCTTAACCACAATATCTTTTTTCATTTCCACCAGCACTTGGCTTGGAGACCCAGATCCATGTTCAGGCTTCTGGCACTAAAAGGACCCCTTGTGGAGTGTAGCTCCAGATGATGGTTCCCACAGCCCAAAATGGAATGGAGAGATGGCAGAGGAGAAGTAGTTCCACATTTATCAAAATCACACTCACAGGATGGAGCCAAAGTGTTTGATGTGAAGATGACTCTTCTTCTCCAAAACCAATCACAGGACAATATAACTTGTTGTATTTACAATCCTCTGACAACTGACAGGAAATGAATAAATGTCATCCTAGCAAGTAAGTATTCACTTGTCTACATGGAACCCGAAAGAGAAAACTAATGAGTTAATGTTCAAGAGCCAAGTACCAAATGTGACTCTTAGTAATGGTTGTACATTTTGATAATGAAGATGTTATCAGGCTCTAAGAAGAGGACTTTAGAAGAAAAACATATAAGAATAATGACAACCCATAATTAAACCATTAGAATTTTTGAAGTATTTGGAGTTCATGATTTTTTTTTCTTTCAAACTTTTATTTAATGAATATAAATTTCCAAAGTACAGCTTATGGATTACAATGGCTTCCCCACCATAACGTCCCTCCCACCCGCAACCCTCCACTTTCCCACTCCCTCTCCCTTCCATTCACGTCAAGATTCATTTTCAATTCTCTTTATATACAGAAGATCAGTTTAGCATACATTAAGTAAATATTTCAACAGTTTGCTCCCACACAGAAACATAAAGTGAAAAATTCTGTTTCAGTACTAGTTATAGCATTAAATCTCAATGTACAGCACACTAAGGACAAAGATCCTACATGAGGAGTAAGTGCACAGTGACTCCTGTTGTTGACTTAACAAATTGACACTCTTGTTTATGGCCTCAGTAATCACCCTAGGCTCTTGTTACGAGCTGCCAAGGCTATGGACGCCCCCTGAGTTCACCAGCTCTGATCATATTTAGACAAGGCCATGGTCAAAGTGGAAGTTCTCTCCTCCCTTCAGAGAAAGGTACCTCTTTCTTTGATGACCCATTCTTTCCACTGGGATCTCACTCGCAGAGATCTTTCATTTAGGTTTTTTTTTTCCCCAGAGTGTCTTGGCTTTCCATGCCTGAAATAGTCTCATGGGCTTTTCAGCTGGATCCGCATGCCTTAAGGGCTGATTCTGAGGCCAGAGTGCTGTCCTGACGGTTGATGTACAATGTAATACTTTATCCATTTTAGTATTTTTTTTTGTTCTAGTACCATTGGTTGAACTCTGTAATTAACACACAATTATTCTTAGGTGTTTAAATTTTATCTGAAAAGTGATCCCTGTTAGGAATTTGGAAAACATTATGCTGAATGTAATAAGCCAATCCCAAAGGGACAAATACCACTTGTTTTCCTTGATAGGTGACAACTAACTGAGCACCAAAAACGGTGACTTGATCAGTTCATGATTTTTTTAAAATGTTTATTTAATGAATGCATTTTTACATAGATACAACTTTAAGAATATAGTGGTTCTTTCCCCCATAACCCCCACCCAGCTCCCATCCTACCTCCCTCTCCCATCTTCTTCTTCATTATGATAATTTTTAATATGACTTTATATACAGAATACCAACTCTATGCTAATCATAGACTTCAATAATTTGCACCCATGCCCACACACAATATATAGAGTACAATTTGGTGAGAGAATTTGCAGTCAGTTCTCATATTGCAATTCAGACGAGATCGGGTGTGTATGGCCGTAGACTCTCATTGCAATTCAATAGAGACAGAGGTCCTACCTGGGGAGCAAGTGCACAGTGACTACTTTTGTTCCTTTAACAATTAACACTCTTTTTTTATAAGGTCAGTGATCATCTGAGACTCTTGCCATATGCTGCCAAGGCTATGGAAGCCTTTTGTGACCATAGACTCCATAGGTATTTGGACATGGCCATAAGCAAAGTGGATGTTCTCTTCTCCCTTCAGAAAAGAGTATCTCCTTTGACGACCCTTTCTTTCCTCTGAAGTCTCACAAGATCCTCCGTGTAGGATATTTTTTTGGTCACAGAGTCTTGTCTTTCCATGCCTGAAATGCTCTTGCAGGCCTTTGAGCCCGACCAGAAAGCCTTAAGGATTAATTCTGAGGTCAGAGTGTTATTTACTGTGAATGTCATTCTAGGAGTCTGCTGTGTGGACTGCTTCCTATGTTGGTCCTTCCTTCATTTTTAATTCTATTGTTGGTACTTTATGTTATTTATCTCATCCCTTTTAAACTTAGACCGATCTATCTGTTGCCTTTAATATTTAATATGATCATTTAACAGTAAAGATGGCGTTTATACCACTGGTTCTTTTGAGTCTGGAGCCCCATGACTAGTTCTTAGGCTGCACCCTGAGAGGTAAATCTATATGCCTGTATGCAGAACTAGACTGTTTTACAGTTTTAGACTACCTGCTCCATCTCTTATTCCCTCTCTTATTTTTGACTGAGATCTTTCTCCAATTGCTTTAAAATACGTATAATTAACTTTGTGTTACATAGAGAGTTCAGCATATAGTATGAAGTAGGGAAATGAGAGAGAAAGAAAGAAAACAAAGAACAAACCAACAAAACAAAACAAAACAAAAAGGGTATACACAGTAAAAAGTAACAATGGTAAACTGTCCCTTGACAATCAGGTCAAGGATTCTTGAAGACATTTGTTCTAAAAGTGGCAATTTCGCTTTTTAGACCCTACCAATATTTATGTGTAAAGTTACCAAAGCTCTAGTTCAGTAACTTAAAGGATGTCACTAGGCTTCCAAAATTATAGTTTTATCACCTTAAACTTAATTACAATTTATGAATGTTTGTGAACCACAAATGAATTAGTGGAAGCAAAAAGCTTTGCTTAATGTCATGCAATATTTGGTAATAATACTGTCATTTCAAACTCCTTGAAAATTCAATAAAGAAGGATTATTATGGCCATTTTATGTAGAGAGATGGTCAGAGAAACCACTCAAACCAGCAGGAAGTAACATGTAGACCTAAAGCCTGGATTCCTGGTTATTGGTGCATCACTTACTCTTTGGAGGCTTGATGGATGGTTGTCAAAGGTCCCTCAGGAGAAGACCATGCCCTGTGTGCAACCAAGGTACCACTAACACCTCTGTTGAGAAGGCAAGGTTGAATACAGGAGCAAGGTGAAGGGTGGGACAAATGTGGTTGCAGATGTCACTTTAGGGTGTGCCTTTCTAGTCTAATTGAAGACATCGATTTTCCTCTGAGGATTTTCTGGAGGATTAGAAAATGAGCTGAAAAATATAAATATTTACTGGACCAGATAGAATTCTATAACAGTATTCTAAGATGTACGTAGTAAGAGTTGGTAAAATGCCTTAAACATTTTAAATGTACTGACGGTGTCTGTTGATGGATAGAACATAGGGTAAGCATGAACTATAGAAATGAAGAATGATTCCAAGGTTATGAACCTAAGTCATTAAAGATAAATTTTCATCTCCTGAGCTGGGAAAATTTTTGGAGTGAGCCCCACTTGGAAATAGCACCATGTTCATAAGACTCGCAAGTGAAAATGTTGACCAGGAGTGAGATAATCTTAGTCCTGTGAACACCAGGCTTGAAACATAATGTGGCTGTCTTCAAACTCAACAGACTACTTAAAATAACAAAGCTGGACAAAGAAACAAAAGGAATTAGAATAGATCCAGTTTTTCCTTTTATAACTGAGACTCAATACTGAAACTAAGGCTGCTTTTCAGCCCACTACAACCTCAATATGAATGTTACCCTCAAGACAATCCTAATCCTTGTTTTTGCCTTGTTTTTATCACTATTCCAGTTACACTGATACCTAGCCTTGATCCAAACACAAAATTGTAAAAAAATGCAAGACGTGGTAGAGAATTCTGCTTTATTAACTACTAGTTCCTAATCCAGTGGTGCTCCATGTTGTGAGTTTATTGATCTCCAAATGTTCTGTGCTTTCTTTCAGGGGCTCTGTTTAATGCCGACCACATTTGGATGAAAATTTGGATTTCATTGTTAATTGTCATATTCTTTTTGGTTGTTAGGCGCATCTGCTTTCTGGTTTACACTACAAACGGTAACAGACGTCACGAGGATGGGATCATTCAAGGCATTTCCTTTAGCTTTCTGCTCAGATCAGAAAGGGCGATCCCAATGTTGGGACTCACATAGGGAGAGTTATGGCCTGTTTCTCACTTTAGTGAGTTCACACCATTCATTTATGAGCTTCCCAAGGCAACAGTGTTTTTAGAAAGGAGGCCAATACAGCTATCTCTTAATCACTTCAGATCCACAGATAATTTCTATATCCTGAATGGGGTGCTTTGTCTCTCAAGAAACAGTCACCGTCCATTCAGTCAAAATGAAGTGGATCTAACTTCTGCTCAATCAAAACCATTTAGTGACAAATGAATCCTGCAAGTCTGCTGTGGGATACATTTAACTTGATCATAAGATCCCTGCCTACCCAGATTACCATTAGTTTTCAAGATTGCAACTTCCTCGATTCAAAGTCTTGAGTAAAATTAATATGAGAAACAGAAAAGTGTATAAAGCAATAGTAGATCCCTTATAATCATACCCTTCCTGATGATTTTTTGGCTGCACTAAATGAATAAATCATTCTTCCAAAACAATACAGTAATCCATCAAATATGAGGTCTCTGTCAGAGATATCAGGTGTTTTTAAGAACACCCTTTTCTCAATTTATGACCAAGCAAACACATCATACATAGGGAAATAAAACTTCTATATAGAAAGAATGTACATTCAGAGAATGGAGAGATGATTTACTATCAGTAACAATAAGATGTATTAACAGTAGCAATAAGATAACCATAGCAATATAAATTCCAAGTGATAAAGGAAGGATGACATTTACCAGACTCAACATTCTGAGTCAAGGAAGTTGCAATCTGTTGTTCCTGTTATATCTAATCCATAAATCCCTGTAGCACATTTACGGAGTCAACACCTTATGCTAGGGAATGTGGTCATTGTGAATTCTTTACAGAATTTATGTAAATTAATCCTAAAAGGCAGTTCTATTTTTGTCATCACTTCACAGTTGAAGATGGAATGAGTCACATAGGTTATAAGTGGCAGATCCACTACTAGACAACACATTAGAACTTAAATCTCATGCTGTAGTCATTATACTATTATTTCCAGTATTTGGTTTTGAGATTATTATACACCCTCATGCTTAAAGACACCATTAGTCATGAGACGGCCTTCCCAGAGTGATTGTGGGAACTTTCTTCCCTTTGGACACCAAATCATTTCCTCAAAACAGCTCCAGTTATAATTCTGGAAGCACAAAGAGTAGGCTTTTTTCTGTTTTCCTATGAAGGTCTTTCAGAGACTTGAGATCATAACCACACTCCACAAGCTTCCCTATGTATTTCCAGCTACTTCAACTTCACAAATTTTTCAGTCTTTCTCCACAAGAAGGTGATGTAAGTCAAAGATCAACATTTCATGGATGCATATGCACACTTTAGTAATATATGGTAAATACTTGTTAACGATGTCTGCTTAGCTTATGGAAACAAGGCTCTTAATAAAGTGCTTCAAGGTAAAGGGTATAAGTGTATTTCCTGCACTACATTAGAAGCCAAGATCTTCTAGCTCTTCTGCTCTGTGGATACAAGGCATTTTTTTTTCTTTAACCCAATGCTGTGTCACCAGACTAACCTCTCTCCAAACCCCAAATCTCCAGAATTCCCACCCATCTGTTGGGGATGACTACAGCCTCCCCCAAGACCTCCAGAAGGATTAACTTTGCACTAGCTTAGGTGGTGATAATTAGGAAAGGAACCACTTCATAACCCTGCTAGTTCTGCAAATCCAATCTCACTGAAACCTGCCACCACTCACAAACCAACCTCACAGCCTGACACCTACCTAGGTTTATGGGGCATGGAGGAATGAGTCCTGCTGTTTAGACAGTCTTTAGGCTAGTGATGCCCCACAGTCTGCTGTTCTTAATTGATTCTAAATCTCTCTGTTCTAGGATATGCACATCAATGTCTTCATGGGTTGAACTCAGGGATTGGCCAAATTTCATGTTTTGCATTCTGTTCTGCAATAGTCCTTGGTGTGTATTTGTCATTCCGGAACAGAGGTAAATGAGATTGATGAGTGTGGACTTTCCCGTGGCTGCTCTCCTTTTCCTGGAAATCTTTTTCCTAGGGGCTGTTCCGTCAAAGGTGTGGTCCTTTCAATATTTCCAGGAGGATCAGTGGTTGGGTGACAATCCTAGTGGATTAAGTTCTTGTATCAAAATTGTTGTAGGTGCCAAGAAGCTGCTCTGACTGCCACCAGGTTTTCAGTTGTACTAATGGCATAATTCTTTCTACTACAGGCAGAAAGAACTTCCTACTACTAGCTTCAGAAAATATGCTTCACTCAGCCATTCACTTACTTTGAATGTTTTCTGAGTTTACTTAAATGTTGTACATTTGTGACTGTAGATCAATGCTTCTTATCTATTTGGGACTTAGAGTTTACATCGAAAATATGACATGAAATATAAATGTTTCTATCCAGTTATAATTCTAATAATTTCAAAGGTATGTGCAATTTCAGGACATTTATGAAGCATTGAAATCCTTCCTTCAGTCTATTACTTATGAAATATGGCCATCAATCAGAGGTGAAATTAATGAATTAATATGGTATTCAAAAACAGCATCTTGAGATTTAACAACTGTTCATTATTTAGAGATTTATAAGGGAAATGTGTATATAGGACAGTTATCACCAATCAAGACAAGGAAATACTTTATTTTACTTGCTTCCAAACCACAAAGAAAATTTCAGAAAATTAAAGTGGTTGTCATTAATGCTGGCCTTCCTCCCACTTCTCATCTCCTTGCTAGAAAGGCCTATAGTCACAGCATGCGTAAGCCTGTATTTCAAGCATTTCCACAGAGGATTGCAGAACTTATCAAATCAGTAAACAAAAAGTCATATCACAATGAAATATTAATATTAGCAAGTCAAGCACCTGGATTCAGTGTGGGAAAAGTTATAAAGCACCTAAGCCAACATTTCCCTGGATATCTTCAGTTCAATTGTTAGCACTCACTCCTAAGGATTCTGTTGGAGCTGATGTGTGGGGTCAAGGGACAAAGACAGTGATTTTTTGAGTGATTGCAAGAACCAGAGGAAGCCAATATAAATTTCTCTCACTTGTCAATGGTTTTTGAAGTTCAGTGACACCTCCCTAGCTGTGGTCAGCAATTCCTTTTGCATGAATACCTAGAAGTTAAGCTCAATCTTATGGTAGGTGTTTGTTTGCTTTTATAAGAAACTGCTGAAATGACCTTGCCATTTCATATATCATCAAAAACAAATAAGAGCACTTGTGTCTCCTGCTTTTCAATATTGGATTCTGCCCATACTAAACCCAAGAATCACAGTTGTGTAGCAGTGATTTAAACACAGGTGTGCACAGCAAGTGGATCTCATCGCCTTTGGGGCTGAGGCTGTGCCACTGGAAGTGAATCTGGAAGTCTTACACCCCTGCAGAAAAAAGGAGAAAAAGTACTAGGTTCTGTTAGTCTTTATAATTTTAGTCATTTGTATAGTGGTTTCTCATCTTGGCTTTAATTTTTTTTTTTTTTGAGATTTCTATATAGGTAAAGTCAAGCAACACTTCTTTTTTAACACGAGTCTTTCATTTAGCAAAATGTCTGTCCATATGGGGTGTATGTTAGTACTTCATTCTTTTTTATTGATTAAAAATAATAGTATGTATATAGAATGCCCCCCAATCCTTCAGACAGTGTACTCTGCTTTTTTTTCTAACTTGGACTATTATTAATATTTAAATTCTGAACATTTATGAACAAGTTTTTGTGTGAGTATATAATTTTCATTTCTCTTGAGTGTCTAGCAGTATCTCTACATTTCACATAGGAAATATGAAAATGTTTTTCAGATTGGCTTTAACAGAAATGTAGGAAGATTTTAATTTCTATTGACATCTAAAAATTGAGATATATTTACTTTCTTTTCACTCTATATGCCTTTAAAAAATAAAATCACAATATTAAGATATGATTGACAGACTAAAAACTGTACATATTTAATGTATACGACTTCCGAGGTTGCAAGCATATTCCTGTGAGACCATCACTACAATCTATGTTATAAACTTATTTATCACCTCCAAATTTTTCCTCCTACTTTTGTACTATTACTTCTTTTTATGATAAGGACACTTAGCTACCCTCTTAGCATATAGTGAAGAATACAACACAATAATATTAACTGCAGGCATTATGTTGGAAGTAGATCTCTAAGAACTACAATCCTCATGTAACTGATATTTGCACATTTTGACTAGCACCTACCTGTTTTATGGTTTCTCCAGTCTCTAACAATCATTCCATTCTCTGCCTTAATTAATCTGATGATTTTAGATTCCCCATATTAATGGTATCATGCACTGTTTGCCCTTCTGTTTGCTAGTTCACTCAGCATGATGTCCTCCAGGTTTATCCATGTTTTTGCAAATGGCAGGATTTCCTTCTTTTTATAAAGTTTATTCCACATTTTTTGTTCATTAATCCATTAATGATTACTTAGGTTAATTCCTTGTCTTGGTTGTTATGAATAATGCTGCAATAAGCATGGGAGTAAAAATATATATTTGAGATCCTGAGTTCTATTCCTTTAGAAGCATATATATATATATATATATATATATATATATATATATCACTTTCTGTGTAGTTTTTCTCTGATTTTGACAGCAGTGTATTGCTGTAAGCTTGCACTTGGAAACTGGAGTTTTATCAATGCTATTTTCATTTGCAAATAGTTGGCAATTTTGTGTGTGTGTGTGTGTGTGTGTGTGTTTTCCAGGGTTGAAAGCTGATGTATCCTACTCTGCTATATTGCTTAATTTTGTTTCTGATTTCTTCTATGTCTCTGGTTGTTTGTATTTTTGATTTCTTCATATTTGTTCATTTTTCCTTTTATTTCGAGTTTAATTACATTGTGTTCAGAAAAGATACTTAGATGTCTGGTAATAGTAATAGATAGAATTAAAAAGGAGAGAATGTTCCAACATGGGAATCAGTTCACATAGCAGACTCATAGAATGACAATCACTCTAAACAGCATTCTGATCTCAGAATCAGCTCTTAAGTCATTCTGATCTGGCTGAAAATCCCATGAGAGCATTTCAGGCATGGAAAGCCAAGACACTGTGGTAAAAAACGTTCTACATGAAGGATCTCTGTGAATGAGACTCCAGTGGAAAGAAGTGGCCATCAAAGAAGGATTTACTTTTCTCTGAAGGGAGGAGAGAACTTCTACTTTGCTTATGGCCTTGTCTAAATACTGACAGAGAATGTGGATTCTAAAGGCTTCCATAACCTTGGCAGCTCATGTCAAGAGCCTCAGGGGGTCCCTGATGTCATACATAAGAGTGTTAATTGTTAAATTAACCGCAGGACTCACTGTGCACTAACTCCTCATGCAGGATCTCTGTCCTCAATGAGTTGTATTATGAGTTAACTGTAAAACTTGTTCTCAGTGTGTGTGTGTAAATTGTTGAAATCTTTACTTAGTATAGAGCTAGTCTTCTGTGTATAAAGTTAATTGAAAATGAAATCTAATGGAGAATGAGAATGGGAGGGGAGAGTGAGGAGGAGGAGGGGTTGGAGGGTGGGTATTGTGGGAAGAATCACTATATTCCTAAAGTTGTGCTTATGATATTTGCATTCCTTAGATAAAAGGTTTCTTTGGGAAAAATAAATTAAAAAAAGAAAAGATACTTGGAACGATTTCACTCTTCTTACATTTGTTAAGACTTCTTTTATGACCTGTCACATGATCTATGCTATAGTAAGTTATGTGCACATTTGAGAATATAAATTTGGTTGTTTTTGAGTGAAATGTTCTGTATATATCTGTTAAGTCCATTTATGCTGTGCAGTTCTTCAAGTCTGCTCTTGTTGATTTACTGTCTGTATGATTGGTCTATTATTTTATGTGGTGTATTAAACTCTATGTCTGCCTTCAGATCTGTCAATGTATGCTAGGTGCATACAAATTTAAAAGTAGGTTACAATTATTTGAGATCCTTTGGGCCTCATGTATCTGGATCTTTATTCCCCTCCCACCTCCATACCCAGGTTTTAGATATTTTTTTATTTTTTATTTAGCAAATATAAATTTTCAAAGTACAGTTAATGGATTACAATGGCTCCCCCCCCATAATTTCCCTCCCACCCGCAACCCTCCCATCTCCCGCTCCCTCTCCCATTCCATTCACATCAAGATTCATTTTCAATTATCTTTATATACAGAAGCTCAATTTAGCATGTATTAAGCAAAGCTTTCAACAGTTTGCACCCACACAGAAACACAAAGTGAAAAATACTGTTTGAGTACTAGTTATAGCATTAAATCATAATGTACAGCACATTAAGGACAGAGATCCTACATGGGGAGTAAGTTCACATTGACTCCTGTTGTTGACTTAACAAACTGACACTCTTATTTATTTATGATGTCAGTAATCACCCTGGGCTCTTGTCATGAGTTTCCAAGGCTACGGAAGCCTTTTGAGTTCGCCGACTGATCATATTTAGACAAGGTCATAGGGAAAGTGGAAGTTTTCTCCTCCCTGCCATCTCTAGTATTTCTGTTTGGTTTTCTTCTTTATGTCTTCTATCTCTGTCAAATGTCTCATTCTATTAATCTATTGTTTTTCTGATATTGCTTAGTTGTTTATCTGGGCCCTCCTGTAGTTTCTTTTAGATGATTATTTCTTTATCTTTTTTGAAAGATTTATTTATTTATTTGAAAGTCAGAGTTACACAGAGAGAGGAGAGGTAGAGAAAGAGAAAGAGAGAGAGAGAGAGAGAGAGAGAGGACTTCCATCCGATGGTTCACTCCCCAGTTGGCTGCAATGGCCGGAGCTCAGCCGATCCAAAGCCAGGAGCCAGGAGTTCTTCTGGGTCTCCCATGTGGGTACAGTGGACCAAGGACCTGGGCCCTCTTCCACTGCTTTCCCAGGCCATAGCAGAGCGCTGCATCAGAAGTGGAGCAACAGGGGCTCGAACCCGCGCCCATACGGGATGCTGGCACTTCAGGCCAGGGTGTTAACCTGCTGTGCACAGTGCTGGCCCCCTAGATGATTATTTCAAATTTTTTCTTCTTGCTCGTATATCTCCATTAATGCTGGGTTGGTCTTAAGCTATACTTTTTATTGTGGTAGTATCATATTTCCCTGAACTTCTGTGTTCTTTGTGGCTTGTTGTTGGTCTCTGTACATTTAAAGAAGCAGTCAGCCAGTCTTTGCAGAGCATTTTCAACTTTGTTTATTTTCAGTACAACTTTTATTTTAAAGTTTGCTTTATCTATTGATAAACTATCCAATTCATCTTCTGTTACTCTTTTCTTAGTTTTTTCCCATTTCTTTACTTTGAATCTATTTATATCTTTGAACCTACAATATGTTTCTTGTAGACAACATATATTTGAATCATGCTTTTCTAACTGATTCTAAAAAATATCTGACTTTTTTCCAATGCACTTGTTTCTTTTACATCTAGGATAGCATTTACTATTCCTTCCATATTTCTTAATGTTTTCCATGCACTTTTATCTTTTGATTCCCCTCTCCCTTGATTATTTTATTTTTTGTGTAAAATAGATACTTTGTATAGTGTGTCATTTTAATTTTTAGTTTTATTATTTTTTATTTTTGGAGGTGTCCTTGATAGTTTCTGTAAGTGCTACAGTTATCAGCTCTAGCACATCAAATTATGAACCCTAAATATCTTCACATCCTGTTCCTGGGACTGTGGATACATTACTTTACATAGTGAAATGGAATGTGCAGTTGTGATTAGGAGCTTTGAGAGGGGAGATTATACGGATTGTGTGGGTGGGTCAGTGTTACCAGAAATGTCCAGTGAAAGGAAGCAAGGGGATTGGAATGATCCAGAGAGAGAAGATGTAAGGAGAGAAATGCATGTAAGAGTCAACGTGATTGAAAATAAAGAGCCATCACATACAGGTCATTCTCTGAAAACTGGGAAATGCAATACAATGGATCCTTCCCCAGAGCCTACAGAAAGAGTGCAGGACTGCAAACACTTTGAGACGTATTTAGGTTGTTGGACAATTTTGGTTCCTTGCATATTTGTGGGACTCGGATCCCATTTCCTGGCTGGCTGTCTCTTGGGAGCCTAGAGGCTTCCCAAGGTCCTTTACATCCTCTCCAAGTGTCTCTGTCAGCAACAGTGGGTCAAGTTCTTTTCCCTCTTGAACCTTTGACTTCTCCTTCACACAGTTCTCTCTGAGTCCAGCCAAAGTCTCTGCTTTTATGGGCTTTACGATTAGATTAAAATACATTAATGTTTTAATGTTAAATGTTTAATGTTAAATACATTTTATATTTTCAGAAAATCAGAAACATACATCATTCTGTACCTCTGACGATATTAATAAATTAGTTCTTAGGTATGATAATGGTATTGTAGCTATGTTGGGGGACATTCTTTTTATTGCTATGTACTGAAATATTTATGAATAAAATGATGTAATTTCTAAATATACTATGCTGATTTCTATTTGGGTAAATTCCCAGGAGTGGGATGGCTGGATCATATGGTTTGTCTTTATTCAGATTTCTGAGGTGCCTCTATAGTGTCTTACACATTGGCTGCATCAATTTACATTCCCATCAACAGGATATTAGGGTACCTTTTTCCCAACATCCTCAACAGCATTTGTCATTTATTGGTTTCTGTATGAGAGTCATTGTAACCGGAGCAAGGTGAAACCTCCTTGTGGTTTTGATTTGCATTTCCCTGATGGCTAGTGATCCTGAGCACTTATTTATGTGTCTGTTGAATTTGAATTTCACTCTGGAGACATGCCTGATCAAGTCCTTTGCCAATTTCTTATAACTGAATTGTTTGTTTTGTTGCTATTGAATTTCTTGATCTCTTTATGGGTTCTGGCTATTAATTCTTTATCAGTTGCATAGTTTGTAAATATTTTCTCCCATTCTGTTGGTTTCTCTTTACTTTGTGGAGTGTTTCTTTTGCAGTGCAGAAGCTTCTCAGCTTGATATAATCCCATTTGTCATTTTTGGCTTTGATTGACTGTATTTCTGGGTCTTTTCCAAGAAGTCTTTGTGTATGCCAATTATTTGCAGAGTTCTCCAATGTTCTCTAGTAATTTCATGATATCAAGACATAGATTTATGTCTTTGCCCTGTAGTATGTCTTGCAATCTAGGATTGTAATGCTTCTGGATTTGTTTTTATTATTTAAGTTTGCTTTAGCTATTCAGGGTCTCTTGTGCTTCCACATGAATCTCAGCATCATTTTTCTAGATCTGATGGGAATATCCTTGGTATTTTGATTGGAATCACAAACATTATTGATTTTATGTGTTAATTTTATATTCTGCCACTTTAATAAATTCTTTTATGAGTTTCAACAGTCTCTTGGTGGAGTCTTTAGGGTCCCCTTTTGGGTTCCTTCTTTCCAATTGTATCTCTTTGATTTCATTTTCTTGCCTAATGGCTCTGTGTAAAACGTCCAGGATAATATTGAATAGCAATTATTAGAGTGAGCATCCTTGTCTGGTTCCAATTTTAGGGGGAATGATTCCAACATTTCCTAATTAAATAAGATGGTGACCATGAGTTTGTCATATATTGCCTTGACTGTGTTGAGGAATGTTTCTTCTATACCCAATTTGTTTAGGGTTTTCATCATGAAAGGATGTCGTATTTTATCAAATGTTTTATCTGTATCTATTGAGATAATATGGTTTTTGATCTTCAGTTTGTTAATGTGATGTATCACATTTATGGATTTGCAAATGTTGAACCTTCCCTGAATATCAGGGATAAATCCCACATGGTCTGGGTGAATGATCTTTCTGATGTGTTGTTGAATTCTGTTAGTGAATATTTTGTTAATTTTTGCATCTATGTTCATCAAGAATATTGATCTATAGTTCTCTTTCTCTGTAGTATCTTTTTTTAGTTTAGGAATTAAGGTGATTCAGGCTTCATACAAGGATTTTGAGAGGATTCCCTCCATTTCAATTATTTCGTATAGCTTGAGAATAATTGGAATTAGTTCTTCTTTAAATCTCTGGTGGAATTCAGCAGTGAAGTCATCAAGTTCTGGGCTTTTCTTTGTTGGGAGGGTCTTTATTACTGATTCAATCTCTGTCTAGTTTAGGTAATTACTAAATTTTGCTAAATTGTTTGTGTCCAGGAATCTTTCCATTTCTTCTAGCTTTCCCAATTTGTTGGCATACATATCTTTGTAGTAATTTTTGATAATTGTTTTTATTTCTCTGCTATCTGTTGTTACATTTCCTTTTTCATCTCTGATTTTATTAATTTGGGTCTTCTCTGGTTTTTTTAGTTAGTTGGAACAATAGTGTATTTTTTCAAAAAACCAGCTCTTCATTTCATTGATCTTTTATATTGTTTTTTGTTTCAATTTTAATTATTTCTTCTGTGATTTCAATTATTTCTTTCCTCCTACTAATTTTAGGTTTGGTTTGTTGTTGTTTCTGGGTCCTTGAGATGCAATGATAGCTCAATTTTTTGTACCTTTCCAATTTCTTCATGTAGGTACCAATTGCTATAAACTTTCTCTTAACACTGCTTTTGATGTTATCTCATAAGTTTTGATATGATGTATTGTCATCTTCATTTGTTTCCAGAAATTATTTGATTTCTTCTATGATCCACTATTCATTCAGGAGCATGTTGTTCAGACTCATGTGCTTGCATATTATCTAGAGATTCTTGGGTTGTTGACTTCCAGACTCATTCCATTGTGGACAGAGAAGATGCATGGTATGAGTTTGATTTAGTTTTTAATTTCCTGATACTTGATTTATGGCCTAGCATAAGTTCTATGCTAGAGAAAGTTCCATGTGCTGATGAGACGAATGTATATTCTGCAACTGTGTAGTGAAAAGTTCTGTTGATATCCATTAGGTCTATTTGGTCCATAGTGTTGATTAATACTGTTGTTTCTTTGTTGATTCTTTGTCTAATTGATCTGTCCATTGATGCCATTGATGAATGTTGGATGTTGAAGTCCCTGTTACTATTGTGTTGAAGTCTATTTCTCCCTTTAGATCCATTAACATTTCTTTTATATAGTCAGGCACCCTGTTATTGGATGCATATACATTAAGTATAGTCACGTCTTCCTGTTGAATTGATCTCTTAATCATTGCATAGTGACTTTCTTCATCTCTTTTAACACTTTTTTTGTTAAAGTTATTTTGTATGATATTAGGAAGGCTACATCTACCTTTTTTTCCTTCCATTATCATGTAATATCATTTTCCATCTTTTTCACTACCAGTTTGCATTTATCTTTGTTGGTGTGTTCTTGCAGGCAGCAAATAGGCAGGTCTTATTTTTTAACTCACTCATCTAATCTGTATCTTTTAACTGGAAAGTAAAAACCATTTACATTTAAGATTACTATTGACAAGTAATGACTTTGCCCTGATAGTTTTCCATAAGTATTCCTATTATTTACTTTGTACTTTTACTGGGAGATTCTCTGCCTTCACATTTTTTCATAATGATGGCTATCTTTCTGTGTTTCTGTGTGTAGCACCTCTTTAACCATTTTTTGTAAGGCTGGACAAGTGGTAAAATTTCTTTCAATTTCTGTTTGTTATGGAAGGTCTTTATTTCACCCTCATTCATAAATGAGTGCTTTGCAGGGTACAGTAGTCTTCTTTGATTTTTTTTCTATTAAAACTTGGGTTATGTCTCTCTATGTTCTCATAGCCTGAAGAGTTTCTGATGACAAGTCAGCTGTGAGTCTAATTGGAGACATTAAGAAAGTAATCTGGCATTCCTGTTGTGCACATTTTAGAATATTTTCTTTCTGTATTACTGTTGAAAGTTTGACTATAAAGTGTCATGGTGAAGATCTTTTCTGGTCATGTCTATTAGGAGTTCTAAGTGCTTCCTGTACTGGCACAAAAATAGATATGCAGATCAATGGAACAGAATAGAAACTCCAGAAACCAATCCATGCATCTGCAACAAACTTATATTTGACAAATGAGATAAAAAATCTATCCCTGAAGCTAGGACAGTCATCAACAAATGGTGCTGGGAAACTGGATCTCCATGTGCACATGTATGAAGCTAGCCTCCTACCTTGCACCTTATACAAAAATCCACCAGGCCGGCGCCGCGGCTCACTAGGCTAATCCTCTACCTTGTGGCACTGGCACACTGGGTTCTAGTCCCGGTCGGGGCGCTGGATTCTGTCCCGGTTGCCCCTCTTTGAGGCCAGCTCTCTGCTGTGGCCAGGGAGTGCAGTGGAGGATGGCCCAAGTCCTTGGGCCCTGCACCCCATGGGAGACCAGGGTAAGTACCTGGCTCCTGCCATTGGATCAGTGCGGTGAGCAGGCACAGCGTGCCAGCCACGGCAGCCATTGGAGGTTGAACCAACGGCAAAGGAAGACCTTTCTCTCTGTCTCTCTCTCTCTCACTGTCCACTCTGCCTGTCAAAAAATAAATAAATAAAATTAAAAAATAAAAATTAAAAAAAATCCACCCAAAAGGAACAAAGACATAAATCTATCCTGATATCATGAAACTACTAGAGAACACTGGAGAAACTCTGCAAGACATTGGCATAGGCAAACACTTCTTGGAAATGACCCCGGAGGCACAGGCAATCGAAACTTAAATTGACAAATGGGATTATGTCAAGCTGAGAAGCTTCTGCACTGCAAAAGAAACACTCCACAAAGTAAAGAAGAAGCTGGTAGAATAGGAGAAAATACTCGCAAACTATGCAACTGATGAAGAGTTAATAGCCAGAACCTATAAAGAGCTCAAGAAATTCCGCAATAAAACAAACAATCCAGTTAAGAAATGGACAAAGGGCTTGATCAGGCATGTTTCAATAAAGAAATTAAAATGACCAATAGACACATAAAGAAGTGCTTAGGATCACTAGCCATCAGGGAAATGCAAATCAAAACCACAATGAGGTTTAACCTCACTCCAGTTAGAATGGCTCTCAAACAGAAATCAACAAACAGCAAATACTGGTGAGGATGTGGAGAAAAAGGTACCCGAATCCATGTTGGTGGGAATGTAAACTGATGCAGCCACTGTGGAAGACAGTATGGACATACCTCGGAAATCTGAATAAAAACCTACCATATGATCAGCCATCCCACTCCTGGGAATTTACCCAGACTAAAAGAAATCAGCACATGAAAGAGTTATCTGTACCCTCATGTTCATTGCAGCTCAATTAACAATAGCTAAGATATGTAATAAACCCAGATGTCCATCAACTGAAGACTGAATAAAGAAATTATGGTATATATACACTATGGAGTACTACTCAGCCATAAAAAATATGAAATCATATTTGGTTAAGATACCTGCATCTTATTTCAAAGTATGTGGCTCCAGTTCCCAATTCCAGCTTCCTACTAACGTGAACTCTGAGAGGTTTGCAATTAATTGAGTGCCTACAACCTCCATGGGAGATCTGGGTTGAGTTGCTCCTGGTTTCTGACTGGCCCATCTCTCTCTCTCTCCCCCTTCTTTCCTCTCTCTCTCTCTCCATCTCCCCTCCTTTCAAATAATTAAAAATTGAGCAAAATACTTAGACATTTACCCAAGGAAGGTATGCAATTAGCCAACAAATATATGAAAAAATGATCACTATACAAATCAAAATAAAATGCAATATCTCTTTACATCTCTGAACATTATCAATCAATCAGGAACATTGTTTTTGAGGATGTGAGGAAATTGGAAGCCTCTGTATTCCTGGTGAAAATTTAAAATGCTGAAGTCATCTGAGAAATAGTAAGAATGTTCCCCAAAATATTAAAGGTAGAAATACTATTTGATCCAATAATCTTATTTCTGGGTATACATTCAAATTAATTAAAGTTACAATTTTGAAGAGATTTGTGTGTTCTCATATTAATTGTGGAATCCTGTACAATAGTCAAAATACGGAAGCAGCATAAATCCCATCAGTGTATGAATGAATAAAGAAAATGTGTTACACACATACAATGGAATACTATTCAGCTTTAATAAAGAAGGAAATTCTTTCATGTTCTGATTCAGGAAAATCTAGTAAATGAACATTGACTGACCAGTGTGGAAGGGACTGTGAAACTGAAAAAAAGCACAAATATCCAGGTTTAGGGAGTTAGGAAATGTGATCTTGGGTGGCAGAGAAAAGGAAAGAGGTTTTACAAAGTTGTCCTGTGGCTGACCAGAATGCACCTGGACTTTCTCAAGAAATATTTACATTTATAAGAGACATGACAGCCATCAGGTAAGAGTGGCATTTTATCTAAATGACACTATCCTACATGGTTTGGGGTGACTGTCAGGGTGATCTAGAGAGCAAGATGGTGGTTACAATCAAGATGGCCACAGTATTATCAAGCTAGATCTCTACAGTCCACCACTTGTAACTGGCTCTTACAGCCTCACTCTCTCCCCTCTTCTAGGATGTGACATAGACCTTCAATGGATTTTTGACATGGTCTTGCCAGCATTTACAGACTCTATTGCAGCAATATAGATTCATAAAAGAGACAAGAATGATTACTGGAATAACAATAACATTCAATACTTCCCA